GGGGGGGGGGGGTCGGTGGTCGCCGCTCGGTCGCCGCTCGGTCGCCGCCGGGCCCTCGTCGCGCCCCGTCGCGCCGGGGCCGCGGCGCCGGGCCCGGCCCCGCCCGCCATGGAGGACCCGTCGCGGCTGCTCGGGGTGACCCTCCCGCCGCCTCCTCCTCCTCCTCCTCCTCCTCCTCCTCCTCCCGCCGCGGATCCGCCCGCGCCGGGGCCGCACGACACGGGCGATGTCCTGCAGCAGATCATGGCCATCACCGACCAGAGCCTGGACGAGGCCCAGGCCAGGTACCGGCGGGCGGGGAGGGGGCTCCGGCCCCGGCCGTGACTCAGCGCGGGGGGCACCGCGGAGGGACCACCCCGGCGGGGGAGGAGGGGGGCGATTCCCGCTATTCCCGGTGCTCCCGAGGATGCTCCCGCCGCTCGCCGCCAATTCCCCGGTAACGGCGTCCGAGGAGCTGCCCCCGGGGGGTGTCGACATTCCCGGTGGGAATGGGGTTGTCCCCCCTGACACCGCTGGGAATGGGGGGAAACCCGCTGGGAATGGGGGGAAACCCACTGGAAATGGGGGAAAATCACTGGGAATGGGGGAAAAACACTGGGAATGGTGGGAAACCCAGTGGGAATGGGGGGAAACCCACTGGGAATGGGGCAAAAACACTGGGAATGGGAGCAAAATCAACTGGAAGTGGGGGAAAAACACTGGGAATGGAGGGAAACCCACTGGAAAGGGGGGAAAAACACTGGGAATGGGGGGAAACCCACTGGGAATGGGGGAAAAACACTGGAAATGGGAGCAAAATCCACTGGAAGTGAGGGAAAAACACTGGGAATGGGGGAAAACCCACTGGAAATGGGGCAAAACCACTGCGAGTGGGGAAAAAACACTGGGAACAGGAAATCTGGAAGTGTTGGGGGGTGAAGTTTGACCAGGAAGGGGTGGGGGGAGCTGCAGACCCCCAGGTTTGGGGACACGGGGGGGGGGATCCTTCATCCCTCACCCCCACCTGGAATTCCTCAATTTTAACGGGAAAACCGCCCCCGGACGTCACCCCCGGCCTGGAAAGGAGCGGGATCCGGTGGGTTCTGCAGCCCCTGGTTGGAACCAGCTCGTTACCTCCCCCTAATTAGCGGCCCCTCCACAAGGGAGGTGCTTTGGATCCCACCAAAATGGGCTTTTGGGGCCTGTTCCCCCCCCCCCATCCCTGTGGTTTTCCCGCGGTTTTCCCGCGGTTTTCCCGTGGTTGGGTGTTGGGGGGATGCCCCAGCCTGATAAAACCGCCCGTTTTCGTTAATCTGCCCCCAAAGTTTGGCCAGTTTTGGGTGTGCCTGTCGCTATCACCAAATTCCAGGGGACTGGATGGATTCACGTGAACATAAGGAGAAGCTTTGCCCTCCAAACCCTCCTAATTTGGGTTGAAACGTGGCTCTTTGGGTTCATTTCCAAGTGTGGCTCTGTGGGGCGGTGGAACCCGAGCGGGGCATGTGTGGAACTGTCACTTTTCCCCCAAAACTTGACTTTTTTTTTGTCTCTTCCTGGTGTTGTTCTCACCTGCAGCTCCCCTGGGGCATTCCAGAGGCGTGGAATATTGAGGACAATTATTGCTATTTAAGACCATTCTGAGCTTGTTGGGAGTTTTAGTTTCGAGCAGGTTGAAGGTTGAGCTTCGACCAATCCCTTTGATATTGACCCAAAGCCGCCCTCACGCTCCAGCCGGGCCCCAAATTTTACAGCCCTCCTGGTGCATTTTCATGGGGATTCATGGAAATACGTGGAAAAATCCGGTTTTTGTTTCGTGGGCAGGAAGTTGGTTGGGTTTGGTGAGTTTTTACCCCGAGACGAGCCGGGTCTCGATGCTGCTGCGCTGCTGCGTTTGTGGGGAATTCACTCCAATATTTCACACTGAAAATGCGGGGTTCGGGGGTTATTTTAACCCCTGGCGGGTTTCGGGGGGTCCCACGCCGGGAATCCCGAAGATCCAAGCTGGAAACTTGCCCGGGAGCCGGGCTGGGAAGGGATGGGAGCCGGCGGGGCCGAGCCTCCCGCGTGACGCCGCGGTGATTAATTATTAATTACCGCCGGGTTTCGGACCCAAACGCCGCTCGTTTCCACCCCGGGGGCCGGGAATCCTCCCCGCGCTCCCCGGTTTTCCCCGCTCGGCCGAGGAACAATGGGCTCCCTCCCGGAGCTCCCCGAGCCGCCGCCTTTGTTCTCTCCCCGCCGGGCTCGGGGGGGGGGGGGGGGGCCGCGCTCAGCCCCGGATTTGGGGGGAAATCCCGCGGTTTTGGGCCTCGCCGGAGGGGCCGGAGCAGCCCCTGGGATGGGGGCGGGAGGAGAGCCCGGATTGGGGCCCTTCCCGGGCCGAACGCTCGGGGTTTGGGGTCAGAAAGACACCGACAATGAGGGGCTGAAATCGCGTTTGTGGATCCCAAAGAGGGGCTCGGGGGCGGCCAAAGGGACCCTCCGAGGTGGGTGTTGCATCCAGGGGGTCCCTCCCTCCCGTTTCTCCTGGAAGGCGGCCCCGAAACGCTGGAAAACGGTGTTTTAGATAAAAAAACGTGGTGCAACCGAGCTAGAAATCTGATTTAAATGTTAGTTCTGGGTTGGAAAAGGGCTCGGGAGCAGCACAAGAGACTTTTTGAGATGTGTTCCGTCCAGGGGGTTTTTCCTGTTGTTTTCAGGTGAGAGTCAGCCCCAAATTAAAAATATATTTATAAACATATCTATCTATTAACATATATTAAATATACATTTAAAATTGCACTTTTTGTAGCACCAAAGGCATGTGGTGGTTCCCAAAACTGGCCGAAACTTGGAGTTTTTAAGGCCTGTGTGTGTTTTCAGCCCAGTTCACTCCTGAGGAAATGAACTTCAATGACAAAAGTCACCAGGATTTTCCCATTCCTTCCTTCATTCCCCTCACTGACCTGCCCTTCCCGAGGTTTTCTTGGCTTTTTCCGTGGATTTGGGCTCATTTTTCCTCTTTTTCTCCCCCAGGAAACACGCCCTGAACTGCCACAGGATGAAACCAGCCCTGTTCAGTGTCCTGTGTGAGATCAAGGAGAAAACAGGTGCGTTGGTGCCTTTTTTAGCCTCGTTTTGCCCCAAAATCCCACATTCTGTCCCTAATTTTCCTCCCATTTAACCTGCTCCCTATTTTCCCTCAGGGATTCCACAACACAAAGCTATTTTTTTTTGGCTTAATGGTCTTTTTTAAGGGTTTTTTTTGTTGATTTTTAGGCTCTTGCATGGGGGGAAAACAAAGTGTTTGGGTTGGTTTTATGTGAAAAATCCAT